AAAGTACTCAAAGCACTGGACGTGGAGTCACAATATTTCTGCTAGAGAGATCAAGAGAACCACAAAGAAGGTACAATTAAGCTTCCCCTAGAATACTGAACCAGATTTATTCAGAGGGAGGCAGTGAAAGGTAAAAGATCATTTTGGCTAGCATGAGCAAAGGTATGAAGGTGTGAGGGTGTAAGATGTTTGGGATGTTGTGACATTACATGACATCATGTCTACCAGTGACAATATATAAACTTATCTGTTTTGTACTTTATAATGAAACTATCCGTTGATTGAGACCCTACCTCACTTTTTATTGATTTTCCCCTTAGTTTCCTTACAATCAGATTTTTTTAAACTGTGGATCATAAAACAAATTTAGCAGTTCTCTAATAGCATTTTTTTAATTGAATAGCACAGACAAGACTACAATGTCATATAGAAAATTATCAGAGTGCAATATATTAGTAAAGTATGCAATGTTTTGTGAAACATGTTTAGATTATTTGTGTCTAAGTGTGTTTCTATGTGTCTGTTCCATAAGGTATTGCATATTGTGGGTAACAATCAAAAGTTTGAAAGCCACTGCAGTAGTAATATTTTCTATTACTTTTCATTGCACTCATGTTATATTGATTATGATTAAACCTTGAGTCCAAATGAACCTTAGTTTTTAATGAAGTGACAAGTGACACAGACTGACCTCATTTATAAGCCTGGCACACAGGCAAGCATCTGTTTTAGTGAACTCTAGTTACATTTTACCAGACGAAATGCTGCTAGCTTGGGAATGAAACTATCATTTGTAATGTTATTTTAACATTACATTTCTATTCTGAGTTCTAAACTGTTAAATTCGAGACAATATATAAAGATATAACCAATTAGTTGTATATTTTCTAAGATACCAGTTTCTTCTAGAATGATCATTCATTTATTTCAACAATTATTGAGTGCCTACTATATGTCCAATGGTATTCTACATGCCAGAGATACAGTGGTGGAAAAACAAGAAAGGTTGTTGAAATAAACATATTTTACATAAATGTTTATATTATACTTGTGCTACTTGTGATTAAAATGACATGACACAGAATTTTTTAAGATTTAGAAGCAAACTACAAGATATATAAAAAAGAAAACTTAAAAAAAAAACTTTACCTTAGACAAGAGACATCACACCACAGAATATACTGCATAAAATATTTAAAACTACATATGGTAGCTCACTCCTGTAATACCAGCAACTTTGGAGGATTGAGGTATGAGAATTATTTGAGGCCAGGAGTTTGAGATTTGCCTGGGCAACATAGTGGGAGCTGGTCTCCCCCCACCAAAAAAAAGATTAAAAAATTGCCAGAGTTGGTGGCTGTATTAGTCTGTTTTTAATCTACTATAAAGAACTACTTAAGACTGGGTCATTTATAAAGAGGTTTGATTGACTCATAGTTCTGCATGGCTGGGGAGGCCTCAGGAAACTTACCATCACGAGGGAAGGTGAAGGGGAAGCAAGGCATGTCGTACATGGCAGCAAGAGACAAAGAGAGAGGGGACATTCCACCGTATTAAAACCATCAGATCTTGTGAGAACTCCCTCACTATCATAAGAACAGCATGAGGGAGACCGACCCCCTGATCCAGTCACCTCCCACCAGGTCGCTCTCTCAACATGTGGGGACAGAGCCAAACCATATCAGTAGTGCACAGTTGTGGTCCCAGCTACCCTGACACTGAGGTGGGAAGATAGCTAGAGCCCGAAAGGTAAGGCTACAGTGAGCCATGGTCACGTCACTGCACTCTAGCCTGGGTGACAGAGTGAGATTCCCTTCTCAATAAATAAATAAATAAATAAGAATAAAACTAGATAAGACAAATGGCATATTTCATAAAATGATTTTTAATCTATTTCTTGTGGAAAAATTAGAAAACATGCTTATACATCGTACACATTTTGTCAAAAAAAAATGAACAGTAGGGAATGAATATTTATGCTACTGTTGTATTGTACTTAAAAGTTTGAAGTTCTCCACTGAGAGTAAAGTAATAGATTTTTAAATTGCATATCAAATAGAGAGTAAACCTTGAACTTTACATATGAAATTTCTTTGATTTATCCTTTGTGGTTTTATATATGAATGGTGGTGAAAAGTAATAGCATTTATTGTTTAAAATTTCAGAAACCAGTCTGTTTTTATTCCTGATATCATTTGTAATTACCATGCCAGGATTTAAAAAATTCATTCTTTTTGTCTTATGACATTAAAAACCTATATTTCAAAATATATCAATTGAAGGCCTTATATTTTGGATTAAGATGCTAGGTTGGGAAAAATAAACATATTTGACTTTACTGAGGAAGCATTTTAACAAAACATAAATCAATATTTTAAGTTATTATTAAATATATTTCTTCATGTATTTTTTCATACTATTGCATGCCTTCATACCGCTTTCTGTATCATTATTTGCACTTGCTTCCCAGGTTGTCTTTTGCCATTTTTAACTGCTTCTTTCAAGCAGTTTAAGAATATAAGTCTTTCTTGGTCACTTTTGGAAATTTATTTTACCAAATTTAACCCAGTGTCTTCTATTTCCACGTTATTTAATTTTTTTAAAGTGTCCGCAATCATTTATTGAACATTTGCTTCACTTTTCAGGGTGAGTACTGCATATATTATTTCCATTTTGGGGAAGAACTAAGAAAGAAAAGGAGAGTAACCTATATAGGAGGAAAAAAATAATGTATATTATTGATCATTTTTAAACTCAAAAAAGTATTTTGTAGAGAAATGAGAAAATTCATGTTGGAGAAAATATTGAAAGCTTAGAATGTGGGGCCCACATAGTAACCCAGAAACTTCCAATGTTAAAGTCCTGTAACTGTGATAACTTGAAAAGAAAACTAAACTGTTTAAATCTGGCTTGAATTTTCTTTTTAATGGTGTTAAGTTTCAATGATGTATTTAAACATTTTCATCTTATTAAGTGAGGTATTTGCTTCCTTTACCTTCACATCAGATAAGCTATAGTTGCTTCAGTTGGACCACACGTTCCTAAGGTGAACAATTGGGGCTGAGGCCACACCAAACTAAGAAAATACTTAGGCAAAAGGCTATCTTTGACAGATGTATCAGTGAGTGATCAGAATATATAAACAGAAATATCAATTTTGAAAAACACAAGCTAAAAATCAAATGAGAATTTTTACATATGCTAAAAAATTAAAATACACTATTATCATATCTCTTCAGATATCTTCTGTATTACTTCTCTTTTGTCACCAAAAAAATATTTAGCGCAACTCTTATCTTAGATCTTAATGAAAGAAAAAACACATTATTTCTCCTGATATTTTTCTTTGGCTCTTTCTGAGAGACAGAGGATCTGACATAATGCAAAATTTAAGACAAAAAAAAAAAATACCTGGAAGAAATGGGCATGGAGAGGGAATAATTTCGAATGTTTATGCTTTTCCAATTCCTCTGTAAGCCTCCTTTTATTTTTCCCCAAAACTGGATTTAGCATTGTTCCTAAATTAACAAAAATATTGCCTTACTCTTTGCATTTTATAACACCAATAATTAACAATGTGACAAGAACATTCATATCTAGAGAGGAATAGGATGTAAGATTTTGCAAGTTAGAGGGGCTAAATGTTTTGAACTCATTACATATCTGGGTAATTCTTAAATTAACATTTATTGGCTGATGATGTTTTGATGAGGAAAAATTCTCAAGAACATTTGATTTTTTTACTTAAATTGTGTATGTTCAGACACTCAAAATTCTTTGTTGGGGCCATAGAAATACTCAAATCTGATTAAATTTTAAGGAATTTTACTCAGATTCATTTACTCAAATCCATCAGTAACAAGTTATGTTTTTTTTTGTTGTTATTTATATTTATCCAAGCTGTTACGTAGACCTTTTAAAAATGCTGTTTCTCCTTAAAATTAAGAATCACTATTTCTTCCGTCTTTTAGAAAGCTAAGGAGGAATGTGGAGATGATAGCTTCAAAAGCAAATTGAACTAAAAAAAGATTGGAGTTCAATGACTCCAAACTTTTCAATCTGTTTTCTCTTCTTCTTTATTATATATATTGCCACTAGAAGCAAATAACTGATGCAGTTTCTGCCAGATAATAGCAATAATAAATGTGAAATGTGAATAATTTTTTTCAATTATATCTAAAATTATCCATATCATTTAGCTATTGGTAGTTTCTATTTGGGAGCAGGAGTAGGTAACTCATCATTTAAAAAATGGTATCCAAGCAAGGATCAGAATACTTGTGCCATTGCCACTGTAAACATTGGATGGCAATATACATGAAACTGATGAACATGAGAACAAAACAAAATAAAAGGTGTAATGTTTTATCTATGCTCCATGGGAGGTGGTAACCTGTGGCGATTAGTACACTCAGCAAGCAGCCTCCGCGCATTAGAGGTGAATCAGACACTTAAACATCTGTCCACTTCATGGAAGACTTTTCATCTCACGATACACGTACTAATAAACAACAGTTGGAGAAAATTGTCTCTGGCATTCAACATAACGCTGAGCTGAGGCTGATGGAAGGAAGGGGGGAATTGTATTTCCTTTTGTAAAGCAAAAACAGCCTTGAGTGCAGCCTCTTCTAAAAATCTGATATTTAAAGAGAATTTTAAGACATCACAATGTTCAATTTGGAATGAAGAGGGGCCGAAGTTACTGGAAAGCTCGTGCCTCCGTCTGCAAAATCACTGGCCAGGAAAGCAAAAACTTTTCCAACACCCAATTTTAATATTGTGCTAAAGCCATTGACTCTGTTAAAACTCTAGAGTTAAATATGATCCCCTCCCCACCCCCCACCTTTTCCCTCTTAGGTTAGTGTTTAGGGGACAAGGAGGGGGCTGGAGCTTGGCCCCAACCTCGGAATTGCTGCCAAGGACTTGTAATACAATCTCTCCCCGTTTGAAGGGTAAATCGGTGTCAATTGCATTTGCTGTCCACCAGAAAAAGTAAGCATTTTACTTCCGCTCGGTCTATGAGGACTGATGAAATGTAGGAAATCTGTTTCTGGCAGGGAGAAAAAATCGTTTTCCCAAACAGCACTAAAAAGAGCCATCAGAGAAGTATGAAGAGGGTTAGTGCGGCTGTAGCTGCTGCCGCTGCCGCCAGGCTGGTGGGGTGCGGGGAGCGGCTGCTGCAGGACCTGCGCCTGGAGGGGGCCGGCCTCGAGAAGCTGCAGGAGCCCAGCCCGGAGCCCAAGCGCCTCTGAGAGCCGCCAGTAGCCCAGCTCAGGACGCGGGGGTGAGCATGACTGGCTGGCCCAGCTCTGCGCCAACGCCGCCGCAGCGCGCGTGCTCTGCAGCCGGGGCTCACGGGAGCCCCTGCCTGTCTACTGCACCGGGGGCGGCGGGGGAGGGGAGAGGTCATTAAAAAATAACCTCAGGAACGAGGAGGGGAAGAGTGAGGAGCCACGGACAGTTGGACAGGCTGTCTCTAAGAGTGGGTATTCACTGCAGTGGGTGACTTTCTGATTCCCTGGAAACAACCATGTGTTCCTTGTCCCTTTTGTGGAACACCCCAGATGACTGCAGCACGTAAGCCCGTTGGGTTAGCTCTGCCAACCAGGGACAGAGTGAGGATTTTTAATGAACACATCGATTATAAATGCACACATATGCATTCGTGCACAAGGGTATCTCTAATTCATGTTCAGCATTGTCTGTTATGGGGGGTGGGATGGAGCCAGAATGGTCTTAATGGACGGGTCCTAAATGTTTTACTTGAATCTTTGAGGCCAGAATGGGAGGAAAGAGCGCCACATGTGTGATCTGGGGTGATACTCACTGTTTGTGTCTGATGAGTTTGATGAAATTGAGTTTTATGTGAATAAACAAACGCTAGCCGATATATATCAGCATACTTTGGGAAGACTTTGCATGGTATCATTCTTTTTGTTCAGTCCAAAGTTGAGAGTGGACTCTGAAATTGTTTGGGGAACAAAGGAGACAATTTTGCTTTGAAGACTTTATTTATACTGGCAAAGTTAAATTTTGTCAGCTCAGTATGCTAAATTACCATTAACTTAGCCCAGGCTTTCGAAGAAGTTTCCATTGTCTTGAACGAAGAGGGAGCAAAAGCAAGGGTTAACAGATTGTTTCTACATTCCAAAAACAATTGAGATTGGGGGAGGGTTATTCTATTCCCAGTTAACCTTTTTGAAATCGCAAGGCTTTACCTTCTCCAGCCTTCTTCATCTTCATCCTCTCACCGCCGTGATCTTACAGTGAAGAGTTTGCAAAACTCTATTCTTATTATCTCCTCCAAACCTCTCAAACAAAGTTAGATAAATTGTGTATGGGAGATCTTATGCTAAGGAAATAAGATCTGCATGTGCACAGGAACACCCATTTGACATCCTAGTATTAAAATAAAGGCTCAGACAGGTTGAATGTACGAGCCGGGCAGAGGAAGTCCACCTTTCCTCCTCACCTGTCCCCTGAGATTCACAGAGGCAAGGCAGAGCAAGCCCTGTGTTCATTGCTTCTTTACCCCAAACTCTTAGCAGTGTGGACACTGATTAGCTACAGCTGGGTCTGATTTGCCCAGCCTGTCTTTGATATTAATCAATGAACTGCTCCTCAAGGAATGCTTTCCTCTAACTGCGGTGAAGGTGGTGGTCCTCTCCAATATGGGTGTCTGGGTTTTGACTGCCTAAGAGAAGGTAAGGGACAGATGGATGAGGCATGGGACAGTGTGCCTTTGCAACGCACACTGGAGACTGCATGGGGCTACCTAAATGGCCTGTTACATGGAAAAAGGTAGCTTGGATTTCAGCTGGTATGCTACTAAAGTTTGGGTTTATTTCATTACTTCATTGTTAAACACTATACTGTGGTGTTATGGACTGTGCTTTACTAGGAAATAAGTTCACATGACAAACATTATTTCAACTGGTGCAAAAGGTCATGTGATTGCCCTGGAATTTTCTAGCATCTTGGCTAGAAACTTCAGTTAAACCTTAAACTTTCGAGTATGGTGAAATATCTGATCTTATAGTAACTGTAAGTATGTTGTGTGTTATTTAAAAATCTTGCTTCAAGACTGGAAGTCTGCATTGAAGACTCAGGGAAACTTTGGAAAATTAAAAGTTCCCTTGGTTGAAAAGGCATGATGCGGCTATAGCTGCTGACAGAGAGACTTTTGTTTGAAACTGCAGGATATGTTGTAAGGTTGGTTTGGTATCTCTGTGGTTTTGATATTAAGGTTCAAACAGGATCCAACTGCTTCTTTAAACCTGAGCAATTAGGAAGGTTTCCACGCAATGTTTTTTTTGTCTAGAGAAATGAACTGGAGTAAAAGTAGAAAATAATCTGTTGTCAAAATTAAGTAAGAGGCTTGTGTAATTTTCTGTATTAAATGTTTTCAGGATCAATACAATTAAAATTTTGCAAATCTTCCTTATGTGAGACCATCTCATATATGTATATATATTGCCACAGAATGTATAACTCTGCTAGTTCTTAACTACATTATACATTTACTGCATAAAGTAAAACAGAAATCTTTACATTAAAACAACAGAAAAGAATTTTCTCATGAATTGAGGTTTACCTAATCAACTTAGATAAAATTTTGATGTAAGCCCTTAAATATTCTAATTGTTAATATTGTTACTGACTGTCAGATGGTTTTCTATTTTAATTATGTTCCAAGCTAATCTGTTAGGGGTTTAAAAACCTATGCTAAATTGTTTGGAAGGATGGTTTGGCATGATTTCTTAAAGAAAACTTTACAACATCCCTAATGACATGAAAATATAGAAAATCAATCCCCACTCAGTCTTAGGTTTTTTTGTTTGTTTTTGTTTTTGTTTTTATCATGACTTGAGAAGAAATTGTTATTTGTAACTCTACCATCATTTCACTCAAGACAAATCAAGATAGGACTGTGGGATAAGAAAGAGATCTCTAAAAGAGAGTCAGCACTACACAAAATTAAGAATCACAAAAGCTGAGTGAGATATTTTTAATGATTATGAAAAAACAGTCTTTTACCATGGCCAAAATATCCTCTTAGGCTACCGACCCCTTATTAATAATGGGGAGTTTGAATATATAGTTCTTCTAAGGTTCCTTTGAATTTAAAAATTTTTATTATGATAAAATACCATTAAGTGTCATTTTGCTTCATGTTTGGTCCTTTTCAATTTGTGGATAAGTTGCGCTACTGAGCCTGAAGTGGAGGTCCCATTACGAGATCTGAAATTGCCTTTCTGATGAAATTATGGACTTTATTTTCTGATTAGACCTTTAGAGTAAGATTTTGCATTCATGACATTGGTTGAAAATGTACATTTTGTGAGATAATATTAATGAGCCAAAATGAATCACAAAAGAGTAAAGAACTCATAACGATGAAGAAGACATCTAGAAATTCCCTGGTGGTTTATTCTTTGAGCCCAGCTAGACAATTGGCATTTTCTCTTTCCAGATTTTGGAAGGATATTCAGTTTGGAGCACTGTTTGTTTTTAATTTAAAAGGTAATGTGATTAACTGATTGACACCTGTAACACATTAAACTGAATAGATGTGAGGACCAATGCTGCAGATGAAAGCAAAGATTACCTTTAGGGATGAGACCTTTGACTGTGGGTTGATTAGGATTCGTTGTTTTAAAGGGAACAGCTGAGTCTGTGTGTGTACATGGGGGGAGGGGTGGTAGTGATAACCTCTCATACTTACTTTGAGAGATACAGCATTTCCCTCTTAACTGATTAATCATCATCTTAGGGCAGCATTCTTTTCAATATGAAGAAAACTTGGAATAATCCATTGTTTATTGTATTATTAATACATTTTTCTGTTCTCCTCCTTGTCCTTTGTCTTTTTTAAATGATTTAGAGTTCTATAAAATATTCCTGTTTTGTCACAGAATTGCTTTTCTTTTTGGGTTAAGTCAATAGAAGTATTATTTTGGCACATTTCTGATGGTGATCATTTAGATTTTGCTAATATCAAATGTGTTGAATATTAAATATATGCCAAGCATTGGCACACATATATAATCCTCACAATTATCTTTAAGGTTTCAGCCTCCCTTGTATATAGCAGTAAATACAGGTACAAAGAGAAAAATTCATATGGCTAGACTAGCATAGCTATTAAATGGCTAGGTAGTGGAGCTATTATTTGACCCTGGTCTTCTGATTCCAGTTCCAATATTCTATCCATTATTCAGACTTCTAAATCTCATAGCAGACAGAAGTGATGTAATATTTATTATTTTATTATTTTTATTTTGTCTTTCCAGTTTCTTTTCTATGTAATATCGCAATGCATTTTCTCTAACATGCCAGCAAATTCTAGAGATAAGCCAGAAATCACTTTGGTCATAATCAAAGCACACCTCTAGGTGGCATGGAAGAATACTTTTTCTTCACAGTCCAAATTATGAAGTCTTCAGCTGGGATTCTGGGACAAGAAGCTAGACAGTCTTTAAACATGTGATATTTTACTTACAAAGTCATTAATTTTTTCTTCTTCTCCTGGGCTATTTCAAGTCTCTTCGTATTCATAATTGTTATTCCAGAATCACTTCTACTATGGAAAGAAAGAAAAAATATATACACACACAGTCTTTGAAGGATTTTGTATTAAGTTTCTGCATGTTTTTCTCTTTAAGTTTTATTTTTCTGAATTTCTAGTCTTAAGGGTTGGTTATACATTTTAGGTAGACCCAGAAAGCTTGGAGGAGCCATAGAAGTATTTGAGTCCTTACTCCTCTTTTTAAAGTGATTGACTTTAATACTTACCAAAGTTACTTATCAAGCTTTTTAAATACTTGTACTATATATACTTTTTGGAAACATCACTCAGTGTTTAGATATGTTATACAAAAAAGATTTTCTTTCTCCCTAACCTCACTGTTTTCTTCAAGTCTGGTGGATCGTCAATCGCTTTATTTCCCACCTTTAAATGTTACCCCTTGGCATCTCTTGAGGTTTTGAAAACTTTTGAATGAACTTAAAAGAACTGAAATTTATCTTTTTGTGTAGCTTGTTATTTATGATGTAATTCAGCTGATCCATATTGACTAAATATTTCTTTAAAAAGTTATAAGAAGGGTAAAATTCCATAGTGATCTTTTTATGTGAGTAATATAAATTAATTTAACCTTTCTTCACCACAATATAATACTTTTAATTAGAAACTACTTCACCATGGGGTAAATTCTCCATACTCCAAATTTTGATCATGCTAGCTGAATCCATTTTCATGTTTCATATTCATGGATTAGCCAAATCTAAATCCAAGACGTCCAGGTATTGACTTTCAGCCAAACCGTTGAGTCATGCTAAGTTTGGTAGTGATTTGAAATGTGAAAAAAGGATCAGGAGAAATTGGATTGAGAATCCCAATTCTTTTCAGAAGGGACTTAAACAGAAGAGTCCTTATCTATGACAGTGGCTTTAGGTTACTACATATTTGACATATGTGTAATTGTTTAACTTCTATTGCATGTTAATTACTAAGCCTTCCTTCTCTCACCTCTGTCTCCTGGGAACATGTAACTGTTTTTTGCTTTCTTCTGGCCACTAAAGTTTTGACTATAGACAAAGTAGCAAAATAAAAGTTGCTTAATTATTTTTATTGTTTTTACTTAATGTTCATCTCTAATTATTATAATTCAGTTTGAGTTACTTTTCTGGCAAAACACAGGACAGAGTACATGAGAAATAAATGTGCCACTGTCAAGGAAAATAAAAACTTCACTGTTTAGAAGTTTTAAGGGAAAGGATTGTGTCCTGGCTCATTGAAATTGTTACATGCCATTAGGCTTACTGTAAACTATCCCTTGATGAATTCTTTGCTGGACAATGAGCTTAAGAATCTGAGGTGTCTTCTTGCTTTTATAGAGCAAAATAGGACTCTGATGCTTAAATGGAAGTTGCAGAGCACATAATAGGGTGTAGGTAAAGTTACTGAACTGCCACATCTCACTTTCAGGAAAGTAGTGGGAGAGATTGTGTCTTGAGAAGAAAGGCATTTTAGAGGTAACCCTTTTAAGATTTCAATTAGTTATCTAAATATATGAATCATATGCTTATATGTATTGTTACTTAAATGCTTCTGAGGCTAACTGGCATGTAGGAATCTTAGCTACAAGGAAATGTTTTGCTTTTCTGGGACTAGACATATTTTTTTAAATGGAGCAAAATATGCTTTAGATTTTTGGCATTTAATCACAGAATTTGGAGAAAACTTTAGGACTTTATATGGGCAATGTCATTATTAACTATGAAATAATAAACAATGGTGATATTCTGATTCCCATAATGACAGTCTAATAGCATATGACAAAGTGTATTAAAAGCAGTCACATTTACAATGGTTGACTTTAGATAGATATATGTAAGATGTTTTTGGAGCAAATTTATGGTAATGTTTTTTAAAAAAATTACTCAAGAGAGTAATTTAATTAGAAATGGAATTGTGCTTTTAAATTGTGTATTTATGATAGTTTTTAGGTACTTATTCATAATCCCAAGTCTTTTCTAAAACTACAGCAAAATATTTAGGAGATGCTCATATTTTGCATTTTTCTAAACACCCATGTCTTATTTTTTTTCAAAAGCAATATTTAAAAGAAATTAACTTACACTAAGTGAATTTGAGTTTGGGGTTACCTGGAAAGGAATAGTATATAGACTTTCAAATAATAAAACCAAAAGGAGAATATATAATTTATTGGAAACTTTAAAATGCCATCAATATTGGAATATCGCTGAAAACCCCATAAATATTACTTCTTACCTGTTGCAAATATTTTCATTTTCATTGTTATATGGTAATAAGCATCTGGTTATTTCATAAGCATATTTATGTAAAGAGTGGAATCTTACATGTTTTTAAACATTATGACTATTAGCTGCTTCATTAGATCTTATGTAGTCTTACATCCTCTAAATAATGCATAAAAAAGTGCTATATTCTGTCCTGGCACGGTGGCTCATGCCTGTAATCCCAGCATATGGGGAGGCCGAGGCAGTTGGATCACTTGAGTCAGGACTTCAAGACCAGCCTGGCCAACATAACAAGACCCCGACTCTACTAAAAAATGTAAAACAAACAAACAAAAGTGCTATATTCAAGGCCAATTGTATATTCAAATACCTTTTCTACCAAATAGGGGATTGCACTACTCACAAGATGATCAGGTAAATGAAAGCATCTCTTGTTTTTATAGATGTCAGAAGATATTTAAATATTTCTACTCTAAAGATAATTTCTAAGAAAACCCAGTATGTAAAACAAATAAAGTGGAAAAATAAAAAGAAAGAGAAACAGTGATTGTAGGAATAGCAGAGAACAAACAAACACCTCTGGCAGCATTTGTTAAAATTATGGTGCAGTTCTTGGGTTATTATCAATATGGGTTATTGACCATTCCATTTTGTAAAAATGTGTCATTACAGAAAGAGTAGTGGTCTTGGGAGTATGAAAACTCAGGTTCAAGCCTAGTTCTGTCATGACCTAGCTGTATGATCTTAGTGAAGTCACTTATCCTCTGTTTTTTGTTTTCTTTGACTGCAAGGGAGAAGTGTAGTAGAGACTCTTTGCATGTACCGCCTCCCCTGATCCTCACCCAGTTCTCTAAATTGTGAGTTCATGATTGCTTGGCCATCTCCCCCCCAAAAAAGTGCTTTGCGTAACCTTTTAGGCAGTATTATTAAGGGTAATGATCATTTGTTTACAGTGAGTTGTACAAATGCTGTCACTGCTAGTGTTCAGTCATAAAATTCTGTGAAAATATATGGTTTTAAATAATAGCCCAAACAATGGGAGTTAACAAATTGGATACTAACATTTTAACTTTTCCTTGTGTTTCCACGGTAAGCGGAATTTCTTGCCTAAAAGCTGGCTCTTTCCAAGTATATCATTTCATACAAGCGTGGAGATTTTTGTTTGATTTTCTATTTGACCTTTGATTGCTGCTGTTTTCCTACCAAGTGGTTGGCCAAAAGTGAGAGGGCCAGTACAGATAAAGCAAATAGTGTTTCGTGGGGTTTAATAATTAATAAACTAAACTGTCATCAAAAAACCCATGGATCCACTTCATTATAATGTCATGATGACAACATTTTAATGAGAGAAATCTGTATAAAAAGCAATTTCTTTTGTTTCCAAAACAGGTATTACAAGTGGATAAATAATGTGCTCTGCTCTGAGCCCAAAGGTACGCAGTGGACCTGGCCTCTCTGATATGCATCAGTATAGCCAATGGCTAGCCAGCAGACATGAAGCTAATTTGCTACCAATGAAAGAAGATCTGGCCTTATGGTTAACCAATCTATTAGGTAAGGTTATAAGATCTCATTTTGTGAGCAAAGATAACAGTTTTTGTTTTATTTTTCCTCCTGTAGTGTCCTTCACCTAAGCATGTGATAGTACCTTGGAAAGAAAGACTTCTATTATTTGGCTTTTGCATCTGGGAAACGTGAAACAGGTGGAAAATTTAGATGAATTTCCCAGTGTCTCTCACAGTAACTGTGCTTAGTAATTCCAGTATGATTCATTGAAATGTGGAAATATGTGGTCAGATTGCTTATTTTATCTATATGCTGGTCTGATTTATTTTTGGCTTTTCTTTCATGCCGCTGATCGATTTGACCTATTCTTTTGACATTGTACACAGGCTACAGTGTCTGTAAAATCTGCCTTCTAAATCTGGATTTCTTTGCCCTACTTTTACAACACACCTTCTAAAATGCTGAATACCCAAACTCAGGAACAAAATTATGTATCTTTTTTCCAAATGAGCTGACTACAGTCATCCAAACTCGAACTAAAATTTTTCTTTTCCATTTGCTTTTGTTTTTAAGGTCTAGTCTAAGAGTACTTTAGCTGACCTCGTGCTACCTCCTGGTAAAGCTGCCTTTCCTTTTGTTTCTCTTGTGCTTTCATATTCACAGGATTAAATTTCAACTATATGAAAATGGAATCACATGTTTAAAGGATTATCATATATAGCAACACTATTTCTACTAAGTTTTTTACAGTTAATGAATTAAATTTAAATGTGAGAAAAAAATCCCTGTAAATTTGATAAGATATAAGATTTGAGCATTGAGTAAACATAGAACTTGTATGCAGCTTTATCATTTTCAGGGGGGATTTAATCAACACTATTTTATTATTTAAGGTATCTGTCAAGGTAAGAATTGTTATTCTCACTTTGTAATTAATGAAACTGAAGAGCTCAGTAAGGTGCACCCTGTTCATCTGAAATTTTAGCAAGGTTTGGCAGGGGATTAGCACATTTTATCAGGATTTTGCTTGCTCTCCGTGTCTCTAGACGTGTGCATGGCTTTTGCTTTTATTTATTTTTTAGTCTTTATCCTAGGATTTCTTTATCCTATGTTTCTTTTTTCTTCATAGTGCACACACAATTTTGGCAATTCTGTAGTCTAACCAAGGTTACTGAATATGGGTATGCAAATTGTACCCTGCACCAACAGATAGTGATGCTAGAAAAAAAAGAAGACACTCCCCAGAAGACCCTGCATACTACTATAGACTGTCTCAACCAGAAGGGGCTACACCTTTTAGTAATTCATTCATGCAGAGGATAAATTTTATCTCCACTAAGGAGAGGGAGTTATTTAAGCCTAAACAGATGGATTTTTCTCTCTCTTTTGTCTTTTTGGGGTTCACTAATGATTGCTCTGTTAGTAATTAATTATTAAATTTGAGCTATCAGTTTTCAGATATGGACAATCACAAATAGAACAAAAGTTAAGAACATAGGCTCTGGAAATAGACTACCTGTGTTTCAACCCCGGCTCTGCCACTTGCTAGCAGTGTGATCTTGGGCAAATTACTTACCTGTCTGTGCCTCATTTTCCTCATCTGTACAGTGGTAATAACAGTGGTAACTACTTTGTAGGGCTGCTGTGGGAGTGAATGATTAACATATGTATAGTAAATAGAACAGTGTCTGGCCACAGTAAACACTATCTTCTTGTTGTTATTATTATTCCACTTATATAATTCAGTGAAACGTAATTTGATTTTGTGCATAAATTCGTTCATTGTTTTTAACAAACTTTTGAGTGTGCCTCAGCACAGGCATTGGTGAAAAAAAAAGGACTCTGGGATAAAAATACTTCAATTCAAATACTGGTTTTACCACTTATTGTGTGATACTGGGCAAATTTCTTATTGCACTGTGCCTTGGTTATATAATCTGTAAAATAAATACTATAATAAAATCAACTTTATGGGATTGTTGGAAGTTGGAATGAGATAATAACCTTTAGAAGAAGGTCTGGCATATAATCAAGCCATAAATAACTATTATGATTGTTGTGTTCCAGACAGTCATCTAGGTACTGGAGGATAGTGATTAGGAATAGACGTATTACCTCTTCTGACAAAACTGAGAGTAGATTAGCAAAAAAAAAAAAAAAAAAAAGTAAATAATTAATCGAATATATAACCTATTACTTGTTATACATAGTAAAAGACACAGGTTGCAATTAAAATGTAAAATGAGGTGGATCAGTGGGCTTGGGTTTGGCAGGGGTTTAGCACATTTTATCAGGGTTTTGCTTGCTCTGCATGGCTCTGGGCTTGTGCATGGCTTTTGTATTTATTATTTTTTTTATGGGAACATATATTTAAACTGAGAAGTGTAGATTATTAGCTAGTCAGACCAAACATGGGATAAGAGCCTTTGCAGGGAGGGAAGAACATATGTTGATGTAGGAAGGAGTTAGGTACATTGCAAGAAATGAAGCAAGTCTAGTTTCAACAGAAAAGAAAGAGGAAGAGAGTTTCATGAGGCATGTTCAGGATAGATCATATATTTGAAGATCATATTAAGAAGCTTATACAGTATGATCATGAGAAGCCATTGAGATGTTCTAAACAGAGGAAAAGTGTGATTAATTAAAGTATAGCCTGCTTATACAGGTATGCTATAATGCCCTATGACTTGTCATCAAAGGCATTTTATTTAGTGAGTGCAGTCATTTACAGGGCAGGTTGATCAGTGTGAGCAGCCCAAGACAGCCTCAAAGAATAGAGAGTCAGTGTGTGTAATGGAAAGATCCTTGGATTAAAAGTCAGGAGACCTGGCTCCTAACTGGGCATCAGGAGACCTGGCTTCTGGTTCTGGCTCTGCTACTTGGTAGGAAACTTGCCCAAAGTCACTCAGCTATCTTTCCTGGGCTCAGTGTCCTCAACCATAAAATAAAGGAGTTGAAGTAGATGATCTCTAATGTCCTTTCCAGATCCAAAAGCCTAAGCTTTCAGGAAATCCAACTCCTAAGATCCAGCTTGGGGCAGTTGAGAGAGTCGTCAATATACATAAATAAGAAGATTTATATAAATGAATGACTTTTTTAAAAAATTAAGAATTTCTTAGTAGTTATAACACAAAAGCAATTGATGGCTCGTGAAATTTTCTCAGAAAAGGAATTCTAAAAGAATCTCAAGATACAGTAACGTATAACCTTAGAATGGACTTCAGTTCCTACAAAGTAGGTAGATAATAGACTTGAAGTCAATACCCTCATGGCAATTTAAAAAGTAGCTAACAACTTGAGATTATTAAAAAGTGATAAAACATTTGGAGATAGAAAAATGCATTGTGTACTAGAATGGTGATAACAAGGAGGGAAATAATAAATTTATATCTCATGTTAGAAGATATCTTTCTTACACTTAAGTATATTTAGTATTCACATACTTTGGAAATGGAGCAATTAAAGTAAATTTTAAAATTATTTATTATTGACTATTTTACACTTCAGAAATATTTGCAGACTTTTATTATGCAGCTCTTTTTGAAATCTTGCTTTTTATCTACTTGAAGGAGATAAAAAAAGAGTAAAAAGATAGTAAGTCTTGAAAGTAGCTTCAGAATTGATATATCTCCTCTGAATTCCTAGGTGAGGTAGAAATTTGCATATTAAATTAAAGCTTTTAATTAGGTTTTGCACTTGTGCTATTAGAGTTTTCTTGTGGAAAGATTTTCTGCTTATTTCTAGTGTGTTTGTCTAAAATGTATTTTTTTCTTTTATGTTTTTCAAAAGGAGAATTATTGATATTCTATTAGAATTCTGTTAGAATTAATGATATTCTAAATTCAGATATTTCTGATCCTACATACAGACTATTAAAAATATAGTTCCTTAAAGAATACTCCATTTATATTCTGATATTTTTATGGATTAAAAATGATTTGATAGAGAAGAAAGTGATTTCATTGGTTCATAAACCAATGTTCATATTCTTGTAACATATGTAGATATTATACTGTCATTTCCAGATAATATACTTAATAATAATAATAAATACCATTTGAAATTCCTAGGCATAGGGTTAAAGCATCAACTGTAAACTTTTAAGCTAGCTGAAATTTATATATTGGAATATAGAATACAAGCCATCTTGTGATGTTAACTACTTAAGGTGAATAAGTGGTTTGTAGTAGTTGGGCTTTGTCAAGGGGGTAGCACATTCTGATTAATGAAAATATTATCATGTAATATTTACTGAGTATTTACATATCATTAGATATATCTACTGATCTTGTAGAAAATACTCTTTGTAGTCCTACTATGTTTTTGAATAATGGGTGGCACCCCAGAGCAGTTTTGTGATCAACATTCAAAAAAGACAGCAAAGCAGTCATGAAGATCTCATTGTCTTTCTTTATAAAAAGTTTATTTAGCCATTGCTGTCTATTATACCTTAAATATACACATTTCATTTTTATTTTAGATCTTCTGTTTTTTATTTTTGAGAACCAACTATTGAGAATTTGTTATTTAACTATGCCCTTAGAGTATATTAGAACATGAAATGCATATGTAAATAAATATTGGGGAAATTTTTAATTGTCATTGTGAGGAAACATCATGTTGTTAAATTAACAGTCCTGGATTATAGCAACCACCCATTTTTCAAATACATTGGGCATATTCTACTACTTTTATAATTATTGATGAACTTTTAAGGTTATTATTGGCTTGACTTTGATTATATACTAAAATAAGTGTTCTCAAATTATCTATTTCACATGTATATTTAATTGAAACTTATAGCCTACCTTTATTTTCAATTAATATTTGTCTAATATTGCTGTATAAACTACTTGTGATTACATATTAAAGATAGGAGTATAGTTGTTAAACATCAAATAAATTAGCATTGTTCTTAAAGATTGTAGATCTTTAGGATATAGGCATATGTGCTGGATAATGCAGGGTCTTTGAGTAAATCATCAGATATATTAAAAATCAAATTGTGCTGAATTGATATTACTAATATTTAGAAAATGCATTGACAG